GCATTAAAAAAGGTCTGGATTACGTATGGTAGCTAGGATGCTGATAAGGATTAACAAGTAGATTTTGACAAAAGCCATCTGAGTGGTGGTAATAAAACATGCATGAATAAAATCCTTAAAAAGAACAATAGACTCTAAAAGTGTTGTCCAGATAGATGGAATTCTGATTCTGAAAATATATCACGAGATGCTGCAATGCTGCTTTAAGGATAACTAATAGTACTACAAACAGAGCGCAAAAAATATAATAAAAAGAAGAGACATAAACTTAGAAAGAGAGAAGGAAAAATATAGAGAAATGAAATGAAAATCCAAATGAGTTTTAAAAAATGGAAGTAAAAGGAATAGGAAAGCCCTTAATATCTTACCGGCCTCCTCCGAGAAAAAGAAGCCCAACGATGGCACCATGTATCATTTGAAGACCGTATGAGGGTGAGAGAGCAACGCCGAGGACAGCAGCCGGCGATATGGGCACTAGTCCAGGCGGCTGGCCCGGCAATGGCGCTGGAAGACCAGCAGCCGCCTGATTACTAGCAGCGGCAGCTGTGGCAGCAGCAGCAGCTGCTGCTGTGGCTGCTGCAGTGGAAACGTGGAGCTCTAGGTCACTGGCACCCATCACAGCCGATAGGCCGCTGTACCAGTTACTGACTCTATTTACACAGGAAGGGAACGAGGTTTGTGACTTTCCAGATGAACCCTAGCAGAATGGAAACAATAAATGCGAAAACAAGCAAAATATTAAAAGGAATCTGAGTAAAGTTGAAGAAGCAGTAATATAAGAATAGGATAAGTTAATCAATAGATAGGCTAACTCAAGCGATTCAAAAATGAAAATGAACTAGATTAAATTATAATTCCTTAGGTAAAAAACACAAAAGCCCATAGACATATTTTTGAATGAGAGGTTTAGTCAAGCTAGGTAGCCTAAGGTCATGAATGCAACAATTAGACCTCATAATGCAATAGAATTACACTAGAAGCCTACTCAGTATTTCTAGACTTTAAGCGATGGT